TCAAAAATTACTAAACAGGAACGATTTAAATATTTAATGGCTTTCTCAATCATGCAAAGTAAAATAGTTGTTAATGCATTTACCAAGAAACACAGACTTAAACAGAAAATTATATACTGGAGCAGAAAAGTTAAATATTCTTGGGAGGTTGGAGTGAGTTGAAGCGCGAGGCCTAAAGCTGAGCAGCCACAGTTGGCCGGGGATACAGGAGGCTGTGAAGTGCTGCAGTCATCTCACATGTCTGCCACACACACTTCCCTCGCTCTACTCGCTACCACCAACTTATTCTCTACTTAGTTAATCACAACAAATAATAATAATTTAAAATAAACTGTTAGTGTACGAATCCTAAGACAATACTTCATAACGGTCAATAATGGGAGAAAGTGATAAACTGGTGGGATTACACGAGCCATGTAAGATCTGTTTTCATTGTATATATGTACAATGAAATTAAAACTACCCTACGTGGTGGGAGTATTATATTGGTTTAGAAAGACACGTAAGCAAACACTGACATATTTATTAGAAAACGTTTCGGTCCTGGGACCTTGATCACTTCTAACCGGGAGTATTATGTAAACGTAGCTACTGTTCTAGCCACGTAAAATGTTAAATAAAAAAAAAACGAAGTATAAAGGTGTTATTCTCCCATGCAGGGCAAAGCGCAGAGTAAAATCATTATTCAGGAGCACTGCTGGAATCCGGGCAACAATGTTGAGGCACAGGTTATGCAACTCCCGAAAGTGTGATTCAGTATTGTTAAGCATCATGGTTCATGTTCATCCAATATAATGAGACTTGTTTCAGGAGGAGACCATTCAGAAAATACTCTGGCAATGATTTTTGATATCTTCAGCACTGCTGACAAATATACACTTAACAATATTTGAGATGAGTGTAGCAAATAAAGCAAAGCTAGACAGAGCAAGTGTTCTGGATGCCATCGATAGCGAGATGTTTTGTTCGTTTTATAATTAACATCATTAGATACATCACAGTTTGTGCATACCTTTTATTCAACACTTGAATACTTCTAGATGGTCTCGAGATTTTTTTTAAGCAATGACATTTTTGCCATGAATACAACTTAAGCAGGACTGGAATATCCTAAAACATTTGCATAACAATCTTTTCATGAGTGATCCACACAAGTCGGCTAACAGTAACGCGCAAGTTCTATTTTTGCTGAGATGAGCAGGATGCAAGGCCAACTTACCTAAATATGAAGAGTAAGGAGGAGGGAAGTTAACGTGGTCTCGAGGTATTGCAAGAGAAGTCGGTGAGAGGAGGGAAGGTGATTTATAATAGAAAATAAACTATTTATTAAACAAATTAGTAATGCTGGTATATCTTATTGGTAGATGTAAATTAATATTTTTCATCATCCAAGAATGATTAGCTGTATTTTTAAAGATTTGGTAGTCAAAGTAGCGAGGAGGTTTTAGCGTCGCCAGCTCTCACAAAAAGGGCCTCCATTTTCTGCATATGTTCTGCCAAGTAAGCAAATCAAGTTATGTTTTGTTTCTCCATTTAAAATGCGAAATACATTAGCTGAAAATATCGTTTAATACTAATAACAATGCTGTACTAAGGGCAGACAATAAATGGCAACAGTAAATAAGTCGAACGAAACGGTCAAGATTTCTGTAATGCTCACTTACAATATAATCTTTAAGTAGGATTCCTATTACAACAGATGTGTATACGCCTTTTTTTACTCATTTTTTGTGATCTTTTAAAACAATAACATACTGGTACTGTCCTTGAATAACGAACACGTGATTTGATTCTGTTTTACGTGTGTGCTAAAAATTTGTAAAATTAGTAATAGTATTACTAATTTTACTGTAATACTCATGTCTCCAGGTATATTAGCCTGTCGAGTTGTTATGGCTCCTCTGAATATTACCCGTCTTAGATACACAACGTAAGACACTACGTAAATATTTTCTTTGAATAACTGTTACGATGCCCTAGGATGTCATAATATCGTGTCCCTTAAGTATATGTTTACTGACTCATATTCAATATGGTAGCGGCTTCAGCTCACACAATAAGGGACCGGGGTTCCATCCCCAGCACGAATGAAAACGCTGGACATCTTTCCTTACATCTGCTGCACCTCGTCACCTAGCAGCGACTAAGTACCTGAGTGTTAGTCACTGCTGCATCCTAGGGACAGATTTATAATTGTAATCATGGGGAACGCTAAACCCGTAGGATTATACAGCGCATGTGGGGGGGATGTAAGGTATTCAGACTAATTCAGGGAACTGAAGTACAGATACAATTCCCTAGATCAAGAGCCCCTCACCGACGTCAAGGAATCTCCCTTCAGGGGGTCCTAGGGGGAGGAGGAATAAATGGCCCAATGGATGTAAGCAGTCTAATGATATTTTGACTTTATTAGGCTGTCGTGGTTATACCTAACCCTCCAGGTTAATAATCCAAAAATATTCTACATTTGCGATCTTTTGAATGTGTAGTGAACTTGCTCCACAAAAAATCGATGAAAATAGTATTGGTACGTCGCGATAATAATAAATAACAATACTAATGTTACATAAAAATAGTTACACACGCATGAGTTTAAATATAAATCGATAAGCTTATTAACGCTATATAAAATTTATTGTATATTATTCAGAGCATAAATAATGTCGGTGGATGTTGTGTTTGACAACAATAATCATCATAAGTTGTAGAAGGAGTGGAAGTTGAGTGGCTGCTGCTGCAGAACTGTACACTGGCAACAACCTACATCTAATAAATAATCCTCACCAGCTATTTTCAGGCAGTGTAACGAGAATAAGCAAACTTATTACCAGTCTTGAGACTGGCCCATATCTTCCTTCCTCTTACACAGCTTCTTATTCCATCAATGTCTAACTTTATTTAACATTTGACAATATGTCGCTGGCAACAATGTTGTGTAGAGATATTTACGTCAGGATATATTAGTGTATTGGCGGATGGTCGAGGCAAGACTGGCTTCAGCCAACCCCGCTATCACCCTCTTAATTTTACCTTAAAGATACACTATTTTACAAATTTAAACTATAAAATAACTCAACATAGGGACTAGTTATATGCAATAATACCAAATTATCGAACAGGAGAACGAAAAAGAGTTAATTAAAGGTAAATAGATATGATAGAAGGCGAGAGGTTACATGGGAAGGGAGGGTTGGAGCGGCCATGGCAGTGGCTTCTCAGCCTCGCTAGGGGCACCATGCTCGCCTTCCTAACTCTGGATTCCAACCAATGCTTACCTCCTTTACCCTAATCTTCATTAGTAAATAAGCACACTGTTGTATGAAGTAAAACCCTCAAATTAACATGGGAACGATTATCTATTTATATACAAAAAAGGCATATGTTTTGTGGAGAGATGTGCATCGCCTGGTTAGCGGCACCAAGCTCACATGTTCACATCTTTTGGCAATAAATTTATTGCAAATGTGTCAGTCATTACGTATATATTTATTACCAAAACTAATCCAATCTGTTTCCAGATATATTATTGTAAGAACTTAAATAATTAGTTCATTATAATACGACGAATAACAATGTAGATTAATAAATCCCAAAATCTTGTAAGTCATATAATCCAATTAATAGAAAGTTTGTAAGAAAATAAATATTGACTTGGGAAGATAGTTGGTAAACTTGTGCACGAGAGACAATATTTAGTGTAATGAATAAAGAGGCGAAGCACCCGGTGTGTAATGACTCTTCTTTATACTTGATATTCTTTAAAGAGAATGTCATAATCTTGGGAGAAATCAATACAGAATGCAGGACACCTCGCGCACCCACCTCCTCTCATTTAAACTTGCAAACTTGCAACTCCACCACATAATTGATAAATACGAAGTGACTTAACATGCTATAACATTACAACTTTAAAGTACATATATTAATGAGGCTACCCACACACTTCTGCAATGTTTTAACTACTAAGTGTTCAAGATTACATTAGTAATAAAATTAGTTAGAATTTGTTAGAAGTTGATCTCGGATGCAGAAAGTCTAACCAACACACACACACACACACCTCTCACATTTTATTCACTCATAACAGCTTTTTTCATACACTTTACACCCCACATTATCTTCATTTATCATCATTTGACTTAAATAAAGACTTGTGCAAGAGTATATGAGAGAGTGGGTAGGAGAAAAGTCTTGAAAGAAGAAGAGTCTTGAACAATCAATACACTCTGGTGAACGTGAGTAGCGAACTTTATACAAGTATACTTTTATCCACCTCTAAAATACAACATACCTGGTGTTTTTTGACTGCCAGCCACATCTGATATTGTAGAGCTTGAAGGTCCATTGTAACGGTGTGTCACTCTTGCACTTTGGCCAGTTTTAAGTTGTAAATACTTGCAAGAATCTCTTAAATGAGGAGATAAACTTACACAGGTTTGGGAAATGAAGTTATTATTGGAACCCCTCGCAACTCTCCGCCTTCCCACTACAACAAACTCTAGAAAAAGACCAATTTAATAATTTTGCGTCGTGATCTTTCAGTGGTGTACTCCTAAACGGGCTTTTATTAATAGTACTTCTTGTAAATGAATGATGACAATGTTTAAAAGTTAATAAGCACAGTAAATAACGTTTGTTCTAAAGCTTTTAACCTTGAATAGAGAAACATTCTATATCAAGGAAAATGTGCCAAATTATCTGGCGTCAGTCACTGATAGTGTGTGATAGCCACATATGTAATCTACGTAGAAGCTGTGAATAAGGCCAGAACATGATCAGTTGCACACAATAGCCATTATATGGAAATGCCGCGAAGCTTCTAGGCCTCTTGATCGTCGTAGAAATGTTCTTCAAATATTCTTAAATATATATATATGTTAGCTCTACTACTGGTGGAATGAGTATCAAGTGGAAAAAAGTATGAAAAAGTAGTTTATTTAGTCACCTGGTTGACAAGTTACCGATGTTAATTATGCATTTTTTGACAAGAATTAAAAAGGTTCCAATTCTCTTAGATGAAGCAGCTGAACACATTCCCAGCGCTGGACTCCAACCTTCACAGATACTTGTTACACAGTGGTGAAGAATTTCCACACCATCAAATTATCACTGTATTTTGCTGTACGTTTCTGTAATAATAAGAATGTAAATTCCAATTTTAATATAATAATTTTGCACAAATTTGATTACTAAGACGTATAAATAATGAAATTTAAAGAAGATAATTTCATAGTTTACACAACCTTGACTTAAGACAACCAGATGTGTAGGCCACCATAGGGGCATTATTGAAATTGGTAAGAACTCAGATTTATTTATGTCATAGGTAATAATCTTGGAAGGTTGTACGTGCTAGCTAATAGTGTAAGTTGTAAGAGGTGCAGGAGGTGAGACTTAAAGTTTAAGTCATGGGAGGTGAGCACAGGACTGGTGAAGGAAGGTCAGGCGCGGGAATGGTGCCACTCCGCTCGCTTTTGAATTTGAGATTTTTGCTGGAATATTTCATCTCCCAATATGATGAAAACAGTTTATTTATTCATAGTATCATTTTATAGCTTTAATATAGTTTGGGGAGGCATTTAAGCTAGAATTACAAGGACTAGGCAACCTAAAATTTCGAGTGGTTTGCGGTCCATTATTAGGCAGTGATTGTGGCTGCCGTCAGTGCAATATATTAATATATAAACTTGACTAAAATATTAATATTTATTGGCTGTGAAAGATTACAAATACAAATTATTATTTCAGAATTACTGTTGGTGAAACATACAACAACCTTAAGGCTCACAGGATTCATGAAGTTATTTAACACTAATTTTAAGATTATTGCTAATTAATGAAGCAACGGAAAGAGGGGAAAGTAGAAGGAACGTTCCTTTTGTTATACTTTTTACATAGTTACAACAACACTGCACAGTAGCAGTGTGTTGGACTCACAATGGAAGGACCCCAATGGAAATAAGTCACTGTCTGACTTTTTTAGGGGTTATCTTAGGTTCTTTACACATATGCTGCTATGTATGATAATCTGTGTAACTGTATTTGTGTATACTTGAATAAACTTACTACATTCCTGGTGCATATGAAGGTGCTGGAAATACTTCCATACACCAGTTCACTTAGTAAGTAAGTAGGTACCTTGGTATTAGTGTGAGTCACCTTTGGAAGAGGATGCCAGTGGAAATAAGCTATGACCTCACTGTCAATAAGTCACTGTCTGACTCTCTTTAGATTATCCTAGGTAATTTACACTATGTATGATTATTGTACGTACTTGTATCTTTGCCTAAATAAACCTGCTTATTCTTGGGTAACTAACCCTGTTTCTTGAATGCCTTGGGTCACATGCATGGAGTCATTAGAGGTCTTTTGACATTGTTTAGCCCAAAATGCTCTGCATAACCAGGGACATTCCACAGAGTATGTCAGTAATGTCGCCTTTTCTGTAGAAATTGTAAATCATTCTTTATAGAAACAAAGTTTATGTATCAGTCAGGTTGCAACACTTGGGTTGAAAACAGTAAATGTATAAAAGACATTCATCATGAAGTTATAAATAAAGACACTAGATCAGGTCAGCAAACAAAGGGAGACAGCAGAGGGCAGTAAGGGACTAGCTCCCTTAAGGTCTATTATACTAATAGCAGGAGTGTAAGAAATAAGATAGATGAGCTAAGATTAATTGCAAGTGCAGGAAGCATAGATATTATTGCTATAACAGAGACCTGGCTCAGTCTGAAAGATAAGATGCCTTTTGAATGTCACATACAAGGCTATAAATTATTCCACACTGACAGGGTCAACAGGAAGGGTGGTGGAATAGTGATGTAAGTAGTCAGAGACAGTTTAAATTGTTGTGTTAGACAAGATATAAAATTAGAAGCGACAGCCACTGAATCTGTTTGGTTACAGCTTCTCAAGGGCCGTGAAAAACTAATTTTGGGTGTGATTTACAGGGCCCCAAATCTTAATGAGTGCAGTAAACTTCTATGGGATGATTTTTGTAAGGCATCTACATACGAAAATGTTGTGATAATGGGATATTTCAACTATAGACAGATTGACTGGAGCAATTTGACAGAAAATTTAGAGTCAAGTGACTTTCTTGATACGATTCAGGACTTTTTTAAAACAGTTTGTGACAGAACCAACTAGAGAAAAAAACCTGCTTGACTTGGTTTTTGCCAGCAGGGAAACACTAATTAATAATCTTGAGGTTAATGACGAGTTTGGGGAAAGTGATCACAAATCACTCGGTTTTAATATATCATGGAATTCCCTTAATAATAGCAATCAAGTCTCTGTCCCTGACTTACACTTGGCTGATTTCATAGGACTGAAAAATTACTTGGGTGGGCTGAACTGGAATGACCTGACTATGGGTCAGGTAGGTGGTGATGATTGCCAATATGGCATTTTCCAGGGCATAGTTCTAGCTGCTCAGACAACTTATGTTCCAAATAGGTAACTCAGATCAAACAAAAACGATCCTAAATGACTGTCGCAACCCCCAATCCTGAGGTGTCTCCTGGTGTTGCAAAATTAAAAAAAAAAAATATTTTTTCTTGTGAAATGATAGAGAATCTTTTCCCGATTGTAATGACACCAAAAAAACGAAATTTGAAGGAAAACTGACGGAGTTATGCTCTCGCGAAGTTAGCGACCTCGGCGCTGTTTACAAATCGGCGACTTCGCCCACTTTGAGCCCTATTTTCGGCTAATTCCATTGTTCCAGTCGCCCAAACTCATAGCTATTTCTTTAGAACTCCATTTTTTCTATCGACTGAGTACAAGAAACTGCCCATTTACCGATTTCAACTACCTAATAATGTGGTCAGAAATTTGCAATTTGGCCAATTTCACAAAAAATAAAAAATATGACAATTTCAAAATAAGGTCCAGAATGAACAATGCAGACATTCCTGGCTCTAAAATAACATTTTCTTTGCTCATCAGTCATGTCTCCAGGCCCCTCTGATATTACTCTTGCTTTCTATTTTGAATTTTTATTCAAACAAAAAATAGAAGACTTAATATTATGCAGACTACTGCAATACTGTAATAATTGTATAAATAACATCAACCCATTCATGACTGCATATTAGAATGGCTAGTTGGACATTTATTGGACAATGGCATCATTTGTTTACTTTTGAACATTGGCAAAAATCAAACATTTCCCCTACTTTGAGCTCCATTTCTAGGTTCTTTTTTATAGTAAAATCAATCAAAATCACCTCTATTTCTATAATATGTTTTCCATTCTATCAAGTGAGACCAAGAAAACGAGAATACAACCATAAATACTATACGAAAATAGACCACAAAGTCGGCATTTTAATTAAAAAAAACGGTCGGAGTTTTTTTTTCTCATTATGCACTGCGTGCTCCAGGATTTTTTTTATATGGTGCACACTGACCACACAGACCCATTCTCTCACATGTGGGCCTACCAGCTTTCTCCTGCTTGATTTGAAGCCGCTAGAATTTATGAGTATATATACGTCAAACACGGTACCTCGTAAGACGTATATATACAGCCGCGACAGTCAAAGGGTTAAAACATCTCATTGGTCAGAAGAGAGGCATATACGTATATGCACATCAAAAGAGGAGAGGGGCAGTTAAGAAATCAATATATTCAGTTAAAGAGAAATAAAAAAAGGAATAAGAAAAGCAAAAAGAGATTATGAGGTTAAAGTTGCAAGAGAATTGAAGACTAACCCAAAAGAATTGTTTCAGGTATACAGAAGTAAGATTAGGGACAAGATAGGCCCACTCAAAAGTTACTCAGGTCAGTTCACGGACAATGATAAGGAAATGTGTAGAATTTTTAACACATACTTCCTCTCAGTTTTTACACAGGAAGTTACTAGCGATATTCCAAAAATAATAAATTATGTAGAACAGGACGATAATAAACTATGCACGATTAGGGTCACAAGTGACATGGTCCTTAGGCAAATAGATAAATTAAAACCTAACAAATCCCCAGGCCCTGATGCACTGTATGCAAGGGTTCTAAAGGAATGTAAAGAGGAACTTAGCAAACCTTTGGCTAATCTTTTCAACATATCACTACAAACTGGCATGGTGCCAGATAAGTGGAAAAATGGCAAATGTGATACCTATTTTCAAAGCAGGTGACAGGTCCTTAGCTTCGAACTATAGACCAATAAGCCTAGCCTTCATAGTGGGGAAATTTTATGGAATCAATAATTGCTAAGGTGGGTTCGTAGCCACCTTGAAAAACATAAATTAATCAACGACTCGGTATGGTTTTACAAAGGGGAGTTCGTGCCTTACGAATTTATTAACTTTTTTCACTAAGGTATTTGAGGAGGTAAATCATGGTAATGAATATGATATTGTGTATATGGACTTCAGTAAGGCTTTTGACAGGGTCCCACATCAGAGACTATTGAGGAAAATTGTAATCATCCAGAACTGTCTAAAATTATACCTAATAATGGTATTCCATCTGCCTCTTGCTTTAGGGGCCCATGAAGGATGCTTTTCAGTCACTCGCTTTATTTCTTCCCAGGAGATCACTCTCTCTCTCATCCCCTGGTTGAACTACTGCTTTCAGACAGGGACATCAACTCTCACAATATCCATGATGTGTGGGTTTGTTCTGAATTCCATGCTCTAGAATACATTCTAATAGATATTTCTCCTTGACCTTGCTTTGGCTATATACTATGTATCTTACGAGTCTCTTCATCCTTGTCTTTGGTATGTACCATCAACTGAAACTGCAGGTAGTAGCGAACCCTATACACCTCTTCTCACTTAACGAAGGGGGTTCCATCCCTAAGAGTAGGTCAGTAAATGAATTGGTCATTAAGCAAGGAGCATACTATCATGGTACTGGATTTATGTCAACCATCTCTGATGTTTTAATATCACCTTTGCACCATTTAAATGTTTATACAGTAGTGTACTGTATATTGTAATAAACAGAATAGAGGAAATAAGCTCTGATATACATTATTTAGGTATGCATACTGGTCAGAGATCCTGTCGTAAGTCTGAGTCGTCAGTAAATGAGTATGTCACTAAGTGAGGAGAGGCTGTATTTAGCCCGTAAACGGACCAAACGTATATATACGTTTTTACCG